ATGGTTTTATTCAATTCAGCTTACTACAAGCACTTTTGAATCACCCAATTTTTTTCCGTTACTAGTTCAGGGCATCTTTTGGTTGACAAGAAGAATAAGCATACTTATCAGCTCTTTTTCAAAAGTAACGACATTTACATATTAGGTAGTCGTAGTAGTCACTCTACAAGAAGGAATATAGCTTTATATTCGGTTACCTGGTTATGAGTATTCCAATGCCCATATATTTGGGCCCGATCGCCACTTATTCGGTCCCTGCTCGAACCCTTTCGCGTCATGAGTCTGTTAAGTCAAAGGGCGGATATTGATGGACATAGCCCTATCAGGCCCGTATTTGCCGCACATCACGACCCTATCCTTATTAAGTTTGACAACACAGAAACGCCGTAGTAAATATTATATACCCAATTTTATTTCTTTCATCCCATTTACATAGGCTTTTGACGGTCAATTTATATGAGATCTTTGTTTAAATTATATGTCATGCCAATACCATGTCTGTTTGCTGAAGAAGGATGGATTAGTTTATTTCCTCTTGTTTTGAAGACTTGGATTTTTTTCAAGTATTTATATCGTTTTTCTGCAGTTATTTAATGTTATTGGTTTATGACATCGTTTGAATAAAGTACACACATATATAGACACACAGATATAAACGAAAGTTCAAATTCTATCAATCGATTTCGAATGTAAATCCATACTGATATTATAAATATGAAAATTTGTTTGTTCGTCAGTCTTTCGGGTCAAAACGGAGCAACGGATTAATGTATTTTTTTATATGGAGATAATTGAAGGGCTGGAGTGTGGCATAGGATACTTTTTTTCTCTTTTTATTCCCCTACCCCCCTAAAGAAGGGGTCAAAAATTTGTATGGCGCGTTCCATAATTTTAATATGGGGATAGTTAAAACTTGGTATGCGGATTGTTTGTGGTTACGAACAATACGTTCATCAAATTCTTTTTAAATTTGCCCCCATTCTCTTAAAAGAAATTCCTATATTACCCCGTATTAGACGCGAGTGAATCCGCGGGCAAAAGAAGGTAAGTATCTTGAACGTATCAAGTTTTTAAATCAATTGAAGATATTGAACAGGGGGCCAATTCTACTAAATAAATTTTGTTTAAATCGAATCGATCACGGATCAAAACCGAACGAAACTACAGTTTTTAATGGTTTTTTTATTCTACTAAGTAACATATGATACAATTTCAGCTAAAATAGAACTGGAATTGTATCGTATATCACTTTGTAGAATAGGAAAACCATTAAAAACTGTAATTTCGTTCGGTTTCAATCCGTTTTCGATTCGATTTAAACAAAATTTATTTAGTAGAATTGACCCCCAGGTTTGTAGGTGTTTGTTTTTGCTTATTTAAACTTTAATGCACATAGAACTATACGAATAGTGGACTTAATGCTCTGTATGTATGATCTGATTTTCCGTTGACTACACACAGCAGTATATCAAGTTAACATAAATATTCGTTTTGTAAATCTTGAAGTACGCTTTTTGTAAACACATTTCACAGAATTGAAAATCCTCTTTAGATTTACAATTCTAGGGCTTGGTAACAACTTACAGTGTTATACTGTAATGAAAACTCACAATATTAAGAAAGATTTTACTTAATTGTAGCTATATACTGTGACTGCATTGCGCTTCGTCGTCAAATAGGAAGTTAAGTTAATAGAAAATAGGGCAGCTGTTACACAGATATTGCTTTTGTTGGTTTTATTTTGTTAATAGAACGTTAGTCTAATACTGTACCGTTTCTTGATCCTTGTAACAGATTAACATCTACTTGTTAAAAATAAAATGTAGATTTATTGAAAGTCATGCATAAAATAGCCTATGAATGCAAATTAGTACGAGGATTAAATCGAAACACCGCTTTGGTTCTTATGAGATCTTGAATGGGTACAAATTAAACACAAATACAATTGAATTTTGACACACAGAAATCTCAGCAACCGAACTCGATTAGAATGTCTTCCATTAATTATGTGAAACACATTAGAATTACCGTCCCAGAGACCCTGACTAAGAATATACTGACACGAGACACGTGTAATCAGAAGACTAACTTTTCGCACAGAGCAAATTAAACTTCGATTCTTTCTCTCTTCGTAATGAATTAGATTTTTTTGTTAAATTATTCTATATATACGACTCATGTAATAAAGCCGAGACCTTTTGATCCTCGACGTAACTTGGGCTTATAAGTGTTTATTTGCTTTATATCGTCATTACTAGCGTTTATTACGCAGAGATTAAGGTAAGAGTTACAAATTAGACTTAATCACACTCTAAATACTAAAATAGCTAAACTACTTTCTATATTTTCTTAAAAAAAAATAACATTTTAAAATAAATAGAGGGAATTCGTAGACCGAATTTCGAATTTCCTGTGCTTATTGAAAATAAAATAATTATTCCGTATCATTAAATTTTATAATCATTTAGTATTAAATTTTATATTTTCATTAGTTAATCAAATAAAATGTAAATTATAATGTACGAAGTTGTCATCTCATTCTCGCAAATCGCCCAATGGCTCGCTTATTGAATCAGGATTTTTAGCTCTTGGAAAGGCCTTCTATAATAATTGTTTTGTTTTGTTTTGTTTTAGTTATTTTAATTTAACTATCATGCTCAACTCATTAACTTAATATCTGTGGTTTCCCCAATAGTTATTTATTCTCATAATCATGGTGTAATTCTATAAATAACTTTTAATGTTCTTCTTCAAATATAATACCTATTATCAAAAACAACAATAAATTTATCAATTACATGCTTCAATCAAATAGCAAGTAATCCTTGCTTTTATTATAGTAATAAGAGTCTCCAAACTACATTTATAAAAAGAAATCATTTTCAACAGGATTTTATTTAGATAGTGCCTGTTTATTTTACCAATGTAACTTCTGATATTTAATAAAATAAATACTATAAGTTACTTTCATTTGTATTTTTAGTATATAAAAAAATAATAGTCGTAGTTACGTAGGTATAACCTTAAAGTATCTGTACTAAAAGTTTTGCTGTAAGGACAAAGTTAATAGTAGAATGAAAATTTCATTACACTGCACATAATAAATGCAAAAGTGATATATCATACCAATTTAATTTATTTGACACAAAAATAAACGGGAACTAAATGTTTATAAATAAATTATGTGGAAATAGTTGAAAATTATATGGAAATAGTTGGTTTAATAAAAAGAAAGGCAACAAAATAGAAAATTTACTTTACTGAATCCAACTATCCATTCAACAAGATGTTGGATTCAAGACACTTCGAAATAACATGTAAGCGACCTTGTGGGTGGTAGGCACTAAGTTTGTGTAGCAGCTGTGAATAATATGAGCTCGTAATTTATATTGAAACATTAGCTTTACTGGTAGCTTGTATATGCAAAACCTGCGTGGAAGTGTTAAGTTGATGCCGAGTAAAATGCAATGTAACTTCAGCAGCTGTTTGAAAACATCTGTATTAAATAGGGACCGTGTTTCCTAGAACTCGGTTTAATATTCTGAGTTGTTTGATGAAGCCCGAAGTTTGTAAGGTAAGTTTCCAAATGCTCATTGAAGCATTAAAGAAACATCAAGTTGAGAGTGTAAATAGCAAATTCAATTTAATAAAACTCATCGAAGAAAAATAACTTTGATCGTGGTCCCAATGGGCTAAAGTACTTTTATTATGGAATTCCGAAGCAACAATGGAACCTGAATTCCCAGACCCAGTGCAATTCATAGGTATTGCCAACACCGACCGGGAATGGATCGCGGGTCTTCAGAGATGCCGACACCTGGAAACCGTTACTTGACCACGGAGGTCTTCCCACAATAGCACACAGTTACCACAATATGTCAACCTAATTCAATTTGAAATTTAAAATTTACAGGTTAAGGTTAAAAACTCATGGAGATTTGTAGTCAACAGCATTTTACTGACAATTTCAGTCCCGCCTTCCCCTTGCTTTGTATGTCTGTATAAAGTCATAAATATGAAATTGATTTTGATCATATTTTCATGTATTTCAAGGTTTGTAAACAGCTAATTATTAAAGATATTGATATGCTGATATGCTGAGTTACTGGTAAGGCCCTCCTTACTCCCATTTTCAATATCGTAGAGGACATATACCTGATTGTCTGTTTTCGATCTGAACTTTGCATATAAATGTATATTTCTTTAATCTTTAGGTATACTTATTTAATAACTCGTTTATTTACTTATATTCCTGAGGCTTCACACTATAATTAGTAACTATATTTTTGTATAAAGACTTTTAATGGATGATAATATTATTAATGACCAGACAACTTCATTCGTTGCTCACCATGTAAATAACACTCGTACCTATAACAAACGCTGTAAAGCCCAAACTACTTTGTTCTAACAGCATCTATTAAAGTTACCTTTATTTTCGTGAGGTATTCATTAGTCTCGTAATTCTCTAGATTCTTAAGATATTTTATATAATAATTGTAATAATTTTACTAAGATAAACTAATCCGTGTGTATCGGTACAATCATATTTTCCCATAAATGAAATCTTGTTCGTTTCGAAAATCTAAATCTCGTTTGAAATAAAACATGTCATTCATTAATTATTTTAATTCACTATAAAAATACAAAAAGAAATCCCATGGCTTTTCACTATCAAGTTGTTATAAAATGTAACACAACACGCAACAGTTTCATTCATCCATTTTTATATATGGTTTTGGTCTGATAACTACCACTATCGACATTCTGACATCAATTCATTGATTATATTATAATCCATGTCAATACGAGAAAATCCCTTTTACAAGCCAAACCATAAGTTTTATATCAGAACCATATCACTAAAATGGAGCACTTGCACTCTAAACGTGCATGAAATGCATAAGCTTAATAATATTCAGCCCCCAATATTCTACTACGGTTTTCAACGACAAGACTAGAATAATAAATTACATTCCCTCTCATGACGTCATTGTTAATCAAGGTACATTTACCGGTATGAACATTTGAGGGTCACCTAGTTTAGGTTCAAAGTGTATATTTACTTTTGTATCACCATCGCCGACTTCTAGGAAACTATTCCAATCTAGCATCCAATAAAACCCGTTTTTTCTGGGCGGAGGCAATTCAGAATCACCTGGTTGCACTGGTGCTGCTCCACCAAAAGAGTCTTCCAAATCAGCAATTGAAGGTCCTGTATCGGAAGTTGTGGAATCAGCAGTTGCAGCATCAACCAATGAGCCTTTTAAATCAACATTATTCGATTCACTTTCTAGTGTTGCTGGTGAAGTTGTAGTGGATGTTGTAGTGGTGGTTGATATAGACTTAACTGCTTGTCTTTTATTTTGCCCAACTTTTACCGAATCATATTCAATAGGTTCATATTTAGGTAAGGGTTTATTTAAAGTAGATTTCGTTATCCTGCGTAACAGTTGTGTAATAGTTTTTTCTTTATCTACACCATCAGATTCTGTTAGCATCATTGTTACTATCACGCAGCACCAAAATAATTTCATTATCTGAAAAAAGAAAAAGATTATTATTACAATAGGTAAATTGTTTTTCAAAATTTATTGTTTATTACTTATTAACACAAACAGATACATAATAACTGTTGATAATCCAATAAAGATTTAATAAAGAAAAATCAGGTCAGTGGCTTTACTGAATTAACTGTATAAAAGAAACTAATGAATATTAAAAGTCTAGTTTTTCTTCTGAATTATACTACGAATTGTCTAATGCAACGTACCTTTTTCGTTCCAATTTCTGTCTCAAACATATATAATTAAAATAGATAATGTTTCAGTGACTTTAAAATGTGTGTCTAACACAGCGTACAACTCACAAAATAGCTTATAGAACGCAAAACTAAATGGAATACCTATCAACAATTAACAAACAAGAAAGGTAACTTTGATAATAATGATATAACCAGTCTTAATAACGTCATACTGTTACCTACCCGACCACTTTCTACTTCAGTCGGCAAGGCACATTAAAATTCTGATGGCCAGCACATGTGATGCAACAAGGTCTTTCCCATATTTAAATTATACAATCTGAGATAATGGCACGCGAGATCATAAAAATGTAAATACGCAGGATCCCTGTGAGGCTTCTGTTTGTGGTTATAACATATCTTCTATATTGTTGAATGCTTATGATAAAACTCTAAACCATATTGTTACAACATATAAGACACATTGGTAGGTATATTAATATGACCGCTTTTATTTAAAGTTAAAAGTAAATAACTGAAATTCCGTCCTTCTTTGTACATACTTCAGTAAAAAAAGGCAATCTTTTCTCTCTTTCATACAGAGTTTCCTTTAATCTCAATAATTCAACTAAATCAATTTTTCCTATTCATAACTATAATTCAACGAGCGAACTGTTTTTCTATTTCAATGTTTTCTTATGGAAATTCGAGATCAACAAATCGACGATACGATAAAATATGAAGGGCTACAATCATCTTTCTCGATGCTACTATTGTCGTTCACTATATTTATGTGACCGCTGCTTCTTTGTAAAAATCCTATGGTTTCTAAAATATTCGGAGAATTAGTTATTTCTGTGTATTTTATGTACATATATTTACAAACAAAATTAATTATAGTAAAAACTCGTTTATATAATAATTTGTGAGACGAATAATATCTATAGTTTCTTACTAATAGGCGATTTTCTTGATCGTCGTAGAGTATTTTAATAAGAATTCGAACTTTTTTTCCCTTAAGGTGCTATCGTAATCTTTGTAAGACTTTGACATCAACCCGAGCATATATTCCTTTAGATCAAAAGGGAACGTCGACGAAACTCCTGAACCATAATAATTATACAGAAAAACATTTTTCTACAATTCCAAGAAGACATTTTTAATATTTCTCTTATTTGTATATTCAGTAAAAAGATGAACTAAATAAATTTATATATGTTCGGAATTCCAATATCAACAAAACCCCTCTTTATTCTTTTAGCGCTGAAATTTGAATATAACTGTGATTCTTTTCCTGTTGTTAGAGTTTATTTATGATAGCCTATACAACTTTTTTATATCACCTCTTTGCTACAAACGTATAATAAAATCTTCTATTATATTTAAAGCTGATGGTAGATATAACAATAAAAATGAGATTAAATATACTTCTTGAGTTTTTCATTTATTTAAACAAAAATAAATAATAAATAAAAATAAAAAGTAAAAAATTGAATAATTTTTCTTAACAGAGGTTGAAAATAATTTTATGTACCAATCCCAAAATTGGCCAAACAAAAGACGTTTACGGAGATGGAGAAAAAGATTTCCTTAACATCTCATAAACAATGTTCTCTAAATATTTATTTTGAAATACTTGAAATTATTAGCTAAATTTAAATTAAATTCGTGACATTTTTATCGCTGCCAATATCTGGTTATTAACTGGATGGCTGACAGTTTTTTATGAATAAACATCAATTGTACAACAATCTGTAGAGACTTTTAATAAAATTTTCGCTAAATAATTTCAGAACACAATTTTTTTCATAGTTATTATTACTGACTATGTACGTAGGTACTTACTAAAATCTGGAATCGACGTTGAACTTAATTGTCTACTGATTAAGGATTGAGTTTGATCAGAGAAAGAATTTTTGTAGCAAATCTTGCTATCGACTATAATCTATACTATTATTACAATAATATAGTTTGTAACTTCGTGTATAGGTAAAGCTTCGCAAATACTGATTCGATCATGAATATTATTTCCACTACAGGAAGCTACATTATAGGAGGTTGCTATAGGTTATAATTTACGTAGGCGATGTCACGAAATAATAGTTGGTATGAAAAATAATTGAGATATCATAAAAGAAGAAAATAATTTTGACATTAATTACAACCATTATGTATTGTTACTTAATATTTAAGTGCGAGTTTTCTTAAAACTGTACATAAAAGGTAAAATGAAAGGCCTTGGGAGTCTATGAGAATACTTTTTGGCAGCAGAAAGCTTTTAAAGATTATACATTCAATTCCAGACTACTCAAGGTTAGTAGATACATACAACTATACATTATATTGTAACGAAAAATCTAAGGTAGGTATATAGGTACATAGGTATCGTTTGACTATGGGACTAATTATATTAGCCCTCATGTCACGGATAGAGCGAATATATAAAACTGAGTACCTACGCAAGCATAGCGCCACACGGTACGTGCCATATATAATTCCCACCTAAATAATATACACGTTAACTTCATAATATCTCAATCTAAGAGATCCCGAATCCGATTACCAATTGACTGAACAAAGAAAATTAACTTTTCCCGTCTTTAATTTAAGGTTTACACTTCACTGGTTTCATTTCTGTAGAACGTCTTTTCACTTAGAAATTAAATTGTTTAAGATTTGATTTCATTACAAATTAATTACCAATCTAACCTTTCACATGAGAGCTCACACGTAACAACTAATTATAATTTTCTTCAAAGAATTCCTTCCATTAGTACTAAAGAATACTTATTTATTATAGCCGTACTAAGAATATATTTAATATAGTGAAAATATAACAATATGGCCGTTAAAATCAATCAGTACAGAGAGACTACCATTTTGTTGTGGGTTCGAGTACCTTAATAAATATTCTTTTTTTATAAGAAAATACGGGATTTGCTACGTATACAGCCAATTGCACAAACATCCATTAAAAAATTGTCATTGTTCAAAGCGACATTACCCATACAAATTTGACATTCATTTGAGTTTAGAGGAGTAATTAAATTTTAATGGACATTTGTGCAACTGACCAATAGTATGTCAAACTACAAATCCTACTAAGTAATCATTATAAATAATTTTGATATTTTGTTTAATGTAATTTTTTTTCTGCGATTTTTTTATTTTTATCGCCTAACATCCAAACTTCAACGCCGTTTCTGCGAGACTACAATAAAGAATATATAAATAAATAATATCAATCAACTTAATTAAGGTCCATCTAGGTGTATAGCTACAAAGTGACGCGAATTATAAAAAGATTTTCTTTCAAAATCAGTTCTATATTAAAATTGTAAGGCTCTATAAAGAGCATGCTAACCAAACACTCCTAATCTTATATTAAAATATGCTCATAAAGTTTTCAATTTATAATTAATCAAAACTGTTTTACATGGAGAATAACGCTTAAAAATATCTATTTGTCTGTTCATCATCAGCCCTTTTACGTCCCTAATGCAGGAGTCAAGCCCACCTTATGGATGGCTATGGAGGATCGGCCGTGTCTCTCCACGCTGGCCCAATTCGGTTTGGAGGGTATTAACGACTACAAAGGCAGTCAGGACCAACGGCTAACATGCCTTCCCAAGCACAGAGTAGCTAGAAATATATATTTTTTTTATATTTAAGAAGGAGGAGAAGGAGTAGCTCGAAATTTTTTTTTTATATTTAATTAAGTGAAACCCTACAACCATTCATTTAGTGACCTGCTTCTGCGCATGGCATACTTTAGTGGATTTATTATTATTGTTATTTTTTCTCACAGCAAATGCTGGTAGTGAGAGCTGACTACGGGCTAGGCCAAGTTAGTCAGCTCGCCATGTACTGTTGTGGGTGTTTGTGTGGTGGATGTGAGGACTAGTCTGACTATGGAGTGAGTGTCCATGATAATCGATCTATGCAGAGCGATTCTGTAAAAATCAGAACCCGAATTCGATTTCATTCATGTATCCAAGTTCACGTCATTTAGTGAAAGAAAATCTATCGCTTCCATTTTTTGTATAGACATAGACAAAACCAAATTGATCGATTACACGTGTCTCTGATATTATATTCCTATGTCATTTCAAAACTCACTTCACTTTAAAGATTAAGCGGATGCGACTTTTTGAAGTGATTTGGACACCTGAGTGAATTCAAATTCATTTTTATATTTTTACAGAATCGTAGGGCTGTAATGAAATATACGTGTTTTTGTGTAGGTCTATTTCTTTATTTTAGTGATGGTTGGAGTGATTTTAGGGATGACGCATCTAGATGAGAGTACAATTGGAATTATTTTCACCTCATATCGATGCCACATTTGACGTATTTGACCAGCAGGAGGTATTTTCTAATTCATCCGGTATATTTTTTTCTTATACTTTCGTAATGTCTATTAGATATGTAATTTTATTATTGTTCAATGTTAGTAAAATACCTTATTGCTTATGATGGTTATATCGGTTATAACATCACGGTCCCGGTATAATTTAGTCTGTTCATTACAAAGAACATTTTTAGATATATACTTACAACTAGTTTTCGCTTAGTTGCCCCGAGCTGCGAGCAACCCGGGAATCGGGGCGGTGGGGTTTCAAATCCGCCAAAGCGGATTTAATTTTTTTATCATGTTGGATTTACAGTTTGATATCGCCTACAAAATGTTAGTAAGTTCTATCTTCAAATGAAAGGTTTTTAAATACAAAAAGTATTATATATCAAAGAAAAAGGGTTGCCAGTTTACCCTTAATAGAAAAAGAAATATTCAGTCGAAAAACGCAAGCAAAATTTAAAATAAAATTTGTATAGATCGGTTTGTTGTCTTTTATTCTGTTAGCATAACATTTTCAAAACACCGCGCCGTAGTTGCCAAGGTTGCCAGGTGACGACGATGAAAATGGACAAATGTCTCCGTTGAATGTTCATTTGGTATTTACAGTTTTTGAAGTCACCCTAAAATCGGGTATTTTTTTTTCCACCGTATGAAAGAGTCTATAGAGATACACAATCGCTTCATACATGCCAAATACCTATGACCTTTTGTTTGCTGTTGTATGTTATGTTCATTTGTTGTTTAATTTCGTTTGATAAATTTTCCATAAAAAACCGGTTTAGTCTCCCTGTATCTTTTTAAGTGCTGCAATTTTTATGTTCCTTCTTGATTATGATATGACCTTCGGTATTATGTGGTTTTTAATATCTTTCATTATTTCTTTAGTGGTATATGTGGTTGTTGCTGTTATTGCTGCACAATAAATTATATCATGTATTTCATATAGCGTTGGTTGCGTAATATTTTCTAATTAGTTATTGATAATTTGACATTCATTGATGCCTTAGAATTGCGTGGTTATTTTAATTTCGTGGTTATATTGGGACGTATGGCTAGGTCTGTTTCTTTATATTTTGTAAGAAACTTATAGAGGTATTCTGTTTGGTCAGATGTTTCTGTCTCAGATCCATATGTTTGCGTTGTTGTTTGTGGGCTAGACGATAGCATTGTGAGTGTTAGTATAGTTTGTTTAGTGTGTGTATTGTGGAGAATATTTTGCTAATCTAGTGACGCTTAGTATGTTGAAGGATTCGAATTGGTTTCTTGGGTATTTGGTATATGACAAGGTCGATAACTTTTCTTTAAGCTGGTTGTGGTTGTGTGGGTGTTGTGAGAAAGTATTTCGTTACTGGAATTTAGAGTTTCTTATATTTCCCTTTTAATTATTTATCTGTCTGTCAGTGTTATTCTGTTGTTACGATTTATAAATCGAATCTAGTCTGCGAGTCTTTATCCAGAAACTATGCTTCGTACTTCAAGATTAAAGGTCGGGTGTGGGTGTATTTATTGTTTTGGCTGTTGCTTCCTGGTCAATCGCATGTTGGTTGCGATCGCATGCTGCAGCGGCAAGCATCAGCTCCAATTGTTCCGTGGCGACCCACGGGTAGCGGCCCTATACATATAACATCATTACGATTCTCCATAGTTAATGGGCTCCCAGAGCCATGGTAGCCACGCCTATGACTATATTTTCACGTGTCCACCCCCCACGTAAGTCAGATGTTCGACTTGCATTTATGGTTGTATTAGGGGGCTTATTATTATTATGGTCACACATCCCTTGTCTGACCTTTGCGAAAGTTGCTTAACAACAACAAGCTATTCATTTGTCTGTTATAGAACACAAATTAGTAATCTATAGTTAATTAAGACTTCAACGGCGTAGTGCTTCGGATGGTGCATTAATCGTTTGGTACCAGCTGTATCAGCAGGCGTTAACACTGTCCAATCTGCATTGATTCGATTCCATCCATAGAAAAGGCCTTTTTTTGTACCGAGGGGGACTGACCTTATCATGCCGTCGACCTTGATGAGAGGCCGACTGAACCCGGGCTCTCCTGCTGCGGAGGTTAAAAAACCCCTATCTACAGCATGCCTACCGTGCAATAATCCCGTATTACCCTCACATCGGTCTGGAACCTGGTATCTAGCAAGGAAACCCAGGTTATTCAGACCAGGGGGACCGAATGAACGGTCCTCCCTCTCTGCGGCCAGGAGGTTCTCCGGGTAATTTCGAGGAACCCTCCCCGGACAACTGGGATGTGCAATGAACAAGGGAGCAATCATCCCCCTCGCTGCCCCCGTTAGGGAGAAAAGATGCGCGACTGTGCTATCTTTACTTCCTTTATCGTCCGACGAATACCTTGGTCGCCTTGGCCTCCCCCTCGAGCTGAACTCCTCGGGCAATCCCAGCGGCAACGTCCTCTGGCGCCCACGACGACAAACCAAAGCATTCCCGCTGCCATCCATGGAAAAGGCCCATGCCTGAGCAATGCGGATATTAATAGTTATTAGATGATTTAGTATTATGCTTTTTTATCATCATTGCGATGTTATTTTATGATTCGTGTTCATTTATAGGCAGTTGCAATAGCTGTTAAGGTGATCGGTATTGTAACGTTATTTTTATCAACCTCTTGCAAGTCCAAAAGCAGTGGAGCGACAACCGTTGGAATTTATGAGTGTTGGCACGTGTAGAATCGATATTAATAATTAAAAAATAAACACATAATAACGACGTCATTAATTAAGAAGGTTTGTAAACAGCTAATTATTAAAGATATTGGTAGGCTGATATGCTGAGTTACTCTGATTTACTGATTTTTCTGTCTGTTTTCGAACAAAAGATTACATAAAACAAATAAATAATTAATAAACTAAAAATAATGATTATACCATAAAAGAATACCTAAGTGAAAAACTTTAAATATTATCTAATTAAAATAGAATATCCTACTTTTGTATTTTAATTGTAATATCTACTTAATTTAAATATCTGCTAAATGGGTAAGTTTTCAAAGCATACATTATTTAGTTTATAAAAGAAAGGAAATACTTATTACCAATAATTTAAAGCAGTGTCCTCCCCTCTTTCCAAATTGCTGTGCCCGACGGGGTCCATAATGATACTCTTGTTTTTCTTTATAAACATCCTAATACTACATTGCGGAATGCAATAAATAAACTGAACTTTGTGTATAAATGTATATTTCTTTAAATTTTAGGTATATTTATTTTAAAATTTGTTTAAGACTTTAACTCAGTTATTTCGAGACATTAACTCAATTATTAATTTATGTTCATGAGGCTTTAAACTGGTATTAGTACTATTATGTACTGGTATTTATTTAAATAAATACTTTAAAAAGATGATTATATTATTAATGTTCAGACATTTTCATTCGTTGCTCACCATGTAAATAGCACTCATACCTATAACAAACGCTGTAAAATCAAAACTACTTTGTTCTAACAGCATCTATTAAAGTTACATTTATTTTCATGAAGTATCCATTAGTGTCGTAATTCTCTAGACTCTTTATATATTTTTAGCCGACTTCAAAAAAAGGAAGAGGTTTTCAATTCGATTGTATTTTTTTCTGTTTGACACCTCAAAACTTTTTACAGGGAGAACCGATTCTATTGATTCTTTTTTTTTATTTGAAAGCTGGTGCTTCCGGTGTGATTTTAATTTTCAACATAGTATTTGTTAGATCCAGGAGAAGGTTTTGGGTATATCAACAAACTAAAAAAATGGAGGTTTGCACTTTTAACACGGATTTGCCGCGGTTTTCAGAAGAGTTATAAAAACATCAATATCATTAAAAAGCATAAAAAAAACTTTTTAAAAGAAATAGAACCAAATTCAAACTTAAATAAGTAAAAAATAATACTTATCTGAAAAGCGACTTATTATAAGTATTATTTTTTAATTTTTTTAAAGTTTGAAGTCGGTTCTCTTTCTTTAAAAAGTTTGTATTTATATACCTAGATATTGTAATAATTTACTAAGATAAATAAATCCCTATGTATACAACCATATTTCCCTATAAATAAAATCTTGTTTATTTCGAAAATCTTAATCTCGTTTGAAATAAAATATGTCATTCGTTAATTAATTTAATTCACTATAACAATACACAAACAATCCGATGGCTTTTCACTATCAACTAGTTATAAAATGTAACGCAACACGCAAGTTTCATTAATCCACTTTCATATATGGTTTTGGTTCGACAACTACCGCTATCGACAATGTATCGACTGTTCTGACATGCCATTTTACGATAACAATAATAGTCTCATCATTTATCAAAAGATAAATATCGATATTTCTAATGATCTCATTGATTATATAATAATCAATGTCAATACGACAAAATCACTTTTACAAGCCAAACCATAAGTTCATATCAGAACCATATCACTAAAATGGAGCACTTGCACTCTAAACGTGCATGAAATTCATAAGCTTAATAATATTCATCCCCTAATATTCTACTGCGGTATCCAAAGACAAGACTAGAATAATAAATTACATTCGCTCTCATGACGTCATTGTTAATCAAGGTACATTTACCGGTATGAACATTTGAGGGTCACCTAGTTTAGGTTCAAAGTGTATATTTACTTTTGTATCACCATCGCCGACTTCGAGGAAACTATTCCAATCGAGCATCCAGTAAAACCCGTTTTTTCTGGGAGGAGGCAATTCAGAATCACCTGGTTGCACTGGTGCTGCTCCACCAAAAGAGTCTTCCAAATCAGCAATTGAAGCTCCTGTATCGGAAGTTTCGGAATCAGCAGTTGCAGCATCAACTAATGAGGCTTTTAAATCAACATTATTCGATTCACTTTCTAGTGTTGCTGGTGTAGTTGTAGTGGATGTTGTAGTGGTAGGTGATATAGTAGACGGATCTGCTTGTCTTTTATTTTGCTCAACATTCATATCAGATTTATTATCTTCAAGTGGACTAATACCTTTTGTTAAAGGAATAACTTTTACTGAATCATAATCAATAGGTTCATAATTAGGTAAGGGTTTATTGACAGTAGATTTCGTTCTCCTAACTGGAAGAGGCAGTGGGAGAACTACTTCCTTATTTTCTGACTGTGAAGTATCGAGCTCAAATGGGAACTCCGGTCGTAACGGTTCATACAAAAAGTTAGTTGGAGGGATTTTTGTTTCAGCTGGTTTAGCATCATCTGGAGATAATAAATCATAAGTCAAAAGTATGTTTTCGGGCAACTGAACTGTTCCATCTACAATTTTGGCTGGAGGCAGAGGCTTGAAACCTTCCAGTGGTAAAAGAAAATTATCTTGACCTGGTTGACCTTTCAAGCCATGTGCTTCAAGAAATGCTTGTAGTTCAGCTGGTAAATCATCCTTCGGTTTTTGTGGAGTTTTGCTATTCTTAGTCAATGTTTGTTGGAGTTTTTCAAGTGAACTGATGAGAGGAGTGGGGGTAACCTTCGACACTGGTATAACTTCAACTCGTGGAGGTCTTGTATATAATTCTTGTAGGGAAGATCCATCACGTGGTGTGTATGGTAAGACTACTACTACGGACGGTTCGCCTTTTTTCGTAACACTTTCATATTTAGTATTCGGAGGTGATGCTGAAGCTTTTAAGTCTCGGTTATTATGCACTATATTTTCCCGAATATCAGGCAGTTGCGTAATTGGGTTAATTTCATTTTCTCCAATCCAAGGCGTAGTATTTGACAATTCTTTTGAATTTTCTGTGGACGATGATTTACTTTTTGCATCTTCTGCCCTAATATCATTTAATAACTGTATTATTTCATCTCTTGAAAGTCTTGGTAATCCTTCATTTGCTTTGAGAATATTTTGAACTTGTGTAACAGTTTTTTCTATATCCACACCATCAGAGTCTGTTAGCATCATTGCTACTATCACGCAGCACCAAAGTAATTTCATTATCTGAAAAAAGGAAAAGAATATTATTACAATAGGTAAAGTGTTTTTCAAAGTTACTATTGCTTACGAGTAGTAACACAAACAGATACATAATAACAGTTGCTTAATATTTTTATTGAGTCTAATCCAATTAAGATGTTCTAAAGAAAAATCAGGTCAGTGGCTTCACTATGTTGACTATATAAAAGAAACTAATGAATATTAAATTTCTAGTTTTTCTTCTGAATTATACTACCAATTGCCTAATGCCTATTTCGTTCCAATTTCTGTTGCAAACATGTATAATAAAATAGATAATGTTTCAGTGACTTTAAAATGTGTGTCTAACACAGCGTAAAACTCACAAAATATATTATTTTTAACTATTATATTATATATTATTTTTGACTATATTTTCACGTGTCCACCCCCTTCGTAAGACAGATGTTCGATTTGGAGTTATGGTTGTATTAGCGGGGTTATTATTATATTTTTTTTGGGTCACCCATGCCTTATCCGACCCTTGCGAAAATTGCTTACCAACAACGAACTACTAATTTGTATGTTATAAAACACAAATTAGTGACACTCAATTAACAGTTTCAAGAGTTGGTTGATTCAACAATCTTCATCGGTGTAATGCTGGATTCTTAATTGCAATGGCATCTTCACATTTAATTATTGGCAGGAAAACTAAGTTCAGCTGCCTTATTATTAGATATTATATTGTTATTAATAGATTTCAAACGACAAAACTGGCTTATTTTCATGTATAATAAATTATTTATCGGTGAGCTTATTTGCCTAGACATGTGATTCGATCGACGAAAATACTATTTTACTTTTTATATTTTCTAAAATTTTAATGGAAAGTGACTTCATATTTTACTGAAGTCATTTTTTAATCTTGACGCTCTGTATGAAATAAGCAGGGAGAAAAAGCAGCCATCGCCGATTTTCTTGCCGCTTCTTCTTTGTACAAGGTCTCCCGCCGTAAATTTACGAACGGATGACGTAGCACTCGACTTTCACAAGTGCTTGTAATATCCTAGACTGAATAAATAATTTTGATTTGATTTGATAATAGCGCAATGGTTCATGTGGCATTAAGCGTTTGGTACCAGATGCATCAACAGGCGTTAACACTATCCAACCTGCACTGATTCAATTCCATCCATGAAAAAAGCCCAAGCAATGCGGATATTAATAGTAATTAGATGATTATTATTATGATTTTTTATCATCATTGCGATGTGATTTTATAATTCGTGTTTATTTGTAGGCAGTTGAAAAAGCTGTAAAGGTTACCGATAATGTAACGTTATTTTTATCAACCTCTTGCTAGTACAAAAGCAGTGGAGCGACGAGAGTTTGAATTGACGAGCGGCGGCACGCGTAGAATCGATGATACGGCTCACTTGCCAGTTTACAAGGTATATGAAGGTACAGTCAACTAAAGTAATTTCCTAGCCACTGTGAAGTCTTATTGTTATAATAAATCATTTCCTTTTATTAACTTTTCAAATGATAAAAGAATTGGTTTCCTTATCATAAAATTAAACAGTAACATTTTAATTTATATTTTTAAAGAGAACCTGTTTTAGACCATATCTTGTAAAGATAATTATAGGGGCAAAAACTCGACAGGTTTGCGTTTTATGATTACAAAGGTCCCATTGTCACCATCTAGTTCCATCATCAGACCCTAGGTACGAGTATTATCTAGGATTTATAATGTTAAGACAAACCAAACAACTCCAAACTCAGAGGGATTGCTTCGTTAAACTACAGAGGTTCCCTGACTACCGGCCGGCTCCATCGTCGAAACCAACTCCATTCCATATTAATATTACATTGTCGTACAAGATACTGTATGCCAAATTTCAGCTTGGTCGAAAACAGGAAGTGAGTTAAATTTAGCTTACAAGATTTTAGACAAAACCTTAACGACCACGGTAAGTTAAATAAATCTGTTACGATCGGAAAATCAATATCATCTGACCACTACTGGTGATAGCAGCTAAATCTTCTGATAAATAAAGAAAGTATTTGCAGCATATAGCATAGTGGTTCAAGAATCGAATAAGCTGACTAGACGTACAAGGGAGTCCCGAAAACAGCAAAATTATTTCGAAGAGAATTGTCGACCTATTTCTTTTGTCATATTTCACCTGCTTCACAATTCAAAGATTAATACACTTGGCGTCATGAATAAGAAATCAATTTTCCAAAGTCTTAAATTATTATAGCAGAGTTCGTGAAGTTAAAGTTAGAACACTTTTTAATAATTTAGAAGTCCGTTGTGTTAGCGGGAAAAGAACCGATCAATTTATAGAAACATTTGAGATTCTATTATAGGAGTATATCTGCTACTTTGACGATACGAGGCGATTCCAGCTAATGCCTACGCTTGAACCAAATTGTAGTATTTTATTTAGTTAAGTTGTTGTGCAGTGAACTGTGGTAAATAATTGCAATCATTTTGATATCTGTTAGATTTATAATATAATAGACAAAACCTTGGAACTGAATTTGTTGTAGTTACGGCTATCAATTATTTAGTATCAAATCCTAGATCTTTTATACGTAATCTAAGCTTAACTGTTAAATATTTTAATATTATCCTTGCATATTGCAAGGTTAATATTAATACATATAGATCACATATTCATGTGGTTCCGAATGGCTTAATTTTGAAGAGGATTTTGGTAAACAATCAACTACGATTTGGTTTTAAAAAAAAATAGTATTTAGTATGACGATGATTTCGGAAAATGTTGGAAATGAGCTTACTACATAGTTTTTGCGTAAAGCTTTTACCGGTTTATTGGGTTTGTTCTTTAGGTGAAATATACTCTGCATTATCGAGTTATATAAAACCTCAGGTCATTTATTATTAAGCCCCTCATATAGCTTACTCCTCGGAAATTAGACGCCTTTTCTTATACATTGAGGGTTAGTAATAGTATTATGTAAATACAAAGGAAATCACTGGTGCGTTGAATTTACAATCGAGTCTTTACACTCATCGATCCCAGAGAGATATGATAAAAAATGTACCGCAGCCGGGGACCGACAGGATTTGCAGCAAATTCGTTTCTTCTGGTCAATTAAAAATTTGTCATCAACAATATAGGTAGACAATAACTGTAATATTACTAACTTCTGTTATTTTTAAATTTACCTTGTTTCGGAAGCTGCTTGCTTGTTATGTAATGAATAAATTACTATCATTCAAAATTAAACCTAATTATAGTAAATAATTTAAGAAAATGCAAACTTCGAATCTTATATTACCAAACGTTCTGTGTCCTCGTTCATATAATATGCATCATTTACAAATGTGGATCTTTGAAGTTATCTATCTGAAACATTGTAGATACTCTTAATGTGAACGTGCACCGCTTCTCTCGGAATAATCTCATTTGGACAATTTCCAAGTTAATTCTACATTATATGGTGAAATGTTTGGAAGGACAGTGTTTTTTTTTAGAAATAATCTCTCTACTAATAATAACAAAAAACGCAGAAAAATCAAGTCTAGATAACTAATATTTTTTTTGTTAATTTTTTTTTGTTCGTAGGGGTAATTTTCGGCAATACAGATCAGATCATGTAAATTATTTTACCTACTACATCATACGCAGGTGCTTAAGGCTATGATAAAAAATAGTGCAAAAATAAGTGAACGTTTTTTTTCCCTATATTTCACGTTATTGTGATTTATTAGATGCTTTATCGCTCTTTCAAGCATTTTGCATCATCATAAATAATCTAATGTAAATAACTGTTCGTTTTCATACAATCCCACTTAAGATTTCTGATTATGAAAACTAGCATTGTCCCCGCAGATATGCACACGCAATATAACGAGTATGACATAAAAAACACACAAGACGACGAACTATTGAAAGTGAAAGGCATAACCTCGAAACGTGTGAATGCTTCAACACGGCAAAACATCACTTGGTCAAAGTCGCAACGTAGATGAATATTTTTGTTAGCACGTTTATCGTAAATTATAAACAAAAACAGTAATGGTGTTGCAACAAGTCGATACTACCGCACCCTTACGGTTTTGTTAGAAGTCGCGTGGTTATTCAATAATCTGGAGCCAGTCTACCGTGAATGTATTAATATGTATGATGTGGTTGTTACTTCGGGCTTTACAATTGTAATTTCGTGATGAACTTTTGTATTCATGAAATGACCTCGATTGATAAAAAAGGGAATCAATCTGCTATAGCGGTCAATTAACATAAACCAAATTTATAAGTAAAAGCCTCTATATATATTGGGAGTGCGACTTTTTCCGACTACGAATGATTTCCGATTTCCGAATATTAAGCCAAGATGTTAACAAAGTCAAATAAAACCTGTTTCAAAATTAATTGGTAAATTTTAGAGATTTTTTACAGCAATTTAAAAGTATGACTGAACGCAATTAACTACGAAAGTTCTGAACACTATTAGTCAGTGACCCAAAGGTGGACGTAGATGGTAAATAAATTAATTTTTAAAATGGAAGCTCCTATTGGGAGTAAATTACAAAATTTCAAAAAAGTTTGGTAACTATCGATATTGTGTGACATATCAAATGTAAGTGCTTCTTCTCTGGAGCACATGCAACAGTTAGGCACTCGAGCGTATAGCTCAAATATACTTTTTATAATATCTACATAAATACGAGTAGTTCAGAAGTAGTTACAGAAAATAGGCAAATATTTACCATTCTTATCCCTCTAGGGTTCGACTGCCTATCTACCCATAGGATATGATATCTCGAGGTGTATCTTATAGCTAGACATATAGGCAGTCGGAACAGCCTGAACAGCCTGAGTCATCACCGAATGTCATATAATGTCGCCTGCCTATTAGTCTTTTATAGGATGTACTACGGGGAGTGTGTACGAGAGCTACATGAGCTCATTCCGCCTTCACCGTTTTACCATCGGCAATATAGACACACGGCGGGATAGATTCCTCACTTAGTTGATATTCGAAGATGCCGCACAAAACGC